GGTGCCTGAAAAGCAGGTTTGAGAATTTTTAGAAACTAATCTTCACTCACAGTAATCTCTTGAGTTAAGACAGTATGGCTACAGTAACGATAATTCTTTTATAATTCAACTGTGGTGAGCAGAAAAACATCTTGCAACATCATCAAGACAAATAAGGTGGACAAGCTACAACCAAATTAGGTTCCACTCCTCTCTGTCAGCCAAGAACAGGACATGACTGAAACTGGACAGGTTAATGTTGTATCAAAATTTGCCTATTACCCAAAGACAATTAATATTTAACATAGAAACAGATACTCACATACATTAACCAGTTGAAGAACGAAAGTAAGACACCGGGCCCGTGAGTGAGGAGAGGCAAGGGACTAAATTTATTGTTGCATGATATCACACAGTTGAGACGTCCCAAGGATGATCTAAAAACCAGAGCTGAAGCTCTGAAGGAATTGCAGCCCATGGCAGCCATGTGTGTGGACCGCAACGCAGGATGGAAAATGTGGTTTGTGACATGAGTAGATTTAACACCAATTTAATATGATAAAATACAGTTTAAATGAAATGGATACATTTAAAAAGGGAATTTTATGCCTTTCAAAAATGGCACTCAGCAAAGGAAACAAATGGGTGTTCAATTGAAACAAAGCTCATAGATGTGTAGAACACCATGTGAAATCCATATCATGAGGAACTGAAGCTGTTCTCATAGCAAAGGTGGTCCTACCCAGTATTAGTAAGATGTTCTTAGTAAATTAGCTGGTGAGTGTATATACAAAAGCAAGTAAGATTTTGCACTCCTGGTGATTTCAGTAATGCAAAATTCATGGAAATAATACTATAGTAGACCCTGTTTGCGTATGTATGTGTGTGTGTGTGTGTGTGTGTGTGTGTGTGTGTGTGTGTGTGTGTGTGTGTGCCTCCTTTCTTCATCCACAGCCGCTGTTTGACCACACCCCCTTTGCCACAAGTATTTTTTCTAAAAGTGTTTGTAGTAAGCCAAATCACTTTACCCAACATTATTTTTTATACTCTCTCTCTCTCTCTCTCTCTCTCTTTTTTTTTCTCTTCTCTTTTTTTTTCTCGCTCTTTTTATTTCACAACACCCCAGAGTAGGCCTTCCACCAAAAGTCATTAACGAACCCTTGCCAACGGATCTGTCTTTTCTTCATCAATTCTATTTATTTATGTCTATTCCTTTTTAATATATTTCTGTTTGTTAAGGAAAATAGGTGTCTGCCCCCCTCCAACTGTACACTTTGTTGAGCCCATACTCAATGCAAGTTCGTTTATATATTTTAGCCGCTCAGTCTGTAACAAATGGAGCCAGCAACATACAAGCTTTTTTTTCGGACATTAAGTAAGTAGATATCTAAATAGTAGGCAACCTTAGATTAGTATAGAAAGCATCGTATCATGGCTTGGTTTGTTGTTAGGAACGTCAATTAACTTTTGATATTCGCACACCCATGAAGTAGGCTAGGCTAACGTCAGTTCCAGTTTTTGACCATTAATATTACATTCATTTGCACATCCTCCCGCCGAGTTCGTTGTGAACCCTCACGTCGAGACAGTTATAAATGTGAGTGAAAGTGAGGAAAGTTGCACAGCATTTTGTTCCTTTACACTACATTGGGGCTGAGGACAATTAAGTGATTTTACAAATATAAGTCTCAGCATAATGCTGAGATGTGCTAGCTTGGAACTAATGTCTCAATTGTGGCCATATTGTAGTTATCCATTCAGAACTAGTTATGGCAGTTTGTCTTTAGATTTAAGAAAACTCTTGGACTATGAAAAAAAATACGAGTGACAGCCGGTGTCAGTGCAATAAAAAATGAAATTGCTACAGAAAAAGTCTGTAGAGACTTGAGAATCCACATACATGACTGCTGAAACACTTTACAAACATCACACATCTCTATGTACACGTTCATACCCAAGTTATTTTAACCAACCCTGCTACTGGCATGTTTTTAGCAGGTGGGAGGAAACCAGAGAACCCTGAATTGTATAGTTAGAGTCTGGGACCCTGGAGATGGTTGTGTTCTTTATATTCATATTGAAGTTGGATTCTGGTTACACTGAAAGTAAGAGTATGCTTGTAGGCTGCTCTTAAAGACTGTGCTCCAGGTGAGGCTCGAACTCACAACCTCGGCATTGCTTCACCTGTACTGCTGTATAAGTACCGCGCACTGACCGATTGCGCCAATGGAGCCCTGAACGATGGTGATTCTGATGAATTGTGTGGGTTTCATCCAGGTTGTCTGGGTTCTTCAGACCCCAAAGACAAAGACAAATCTCGTTTAGCCAGTGGTGGAAATGGCCAAGATAATACTGGGGGACTCTAGTTGGGGAGGTTTGTTTGTTTCTTTGTTGTTTGTTTGTTTGTTTTGGGAGTTGGGTGGTATGGGTAAATGTAATAGAAACATATAAATACCTCTATAATATATAATAACAATACACTTATTTCATGTCTCCACCAAATGATACGTTTTATTGAATTTCAAATCAGGAACATTCATGAATTATGTGTGACACAAAACAAACTGTTCTTTCATCCTTATCTTGCATATCACAAACCTCTGCCCTCTCTCTCCTCGCTTTTTTGTGTGGGTTTCATCCAGGTTGTCTGGTTTCTTCAGACCCCAAAGACAGGCTCTCTATTGATTGTAGGAGTGAATTAGTGTTAACTTTGTCAGCAATTCTTAGTCGTAATCCAGTGTCAAATATCATTGATAGTTGTTATCATATTTAGTCAATGTAATTCTGTTTTTTAAACAAGTTTGAGCCAAGACTAAAAGTCTGGGCATTTTTTTATATTGTCTATATGGCGAATTTATTGTTCTCTTTATTGAACCCCATGTCTTCGGAGCAACTACATCTGATTTTCCTTCACTTTTTTTACCTGCTCCCAATGGGCATTTGACAAACAAATCTCGAATCTCTCTGAAGGTCATTCACACATTTGTTCACACCTAATTAAGAACTTAATTGGTAAATTGTGCACTAATGTTCAGAAGAAAAGACATTGTTGTGTTTCCTCCAGGTTCTCTGCTTTCCTCTCTCCTGCCAAAAACATGCAGGTAGGTCGACTGAGTATGATAAAATTGCCCCACAGGTGCGAAAGATTGTGTGAATGAACGTTTTTATTGTATGTCCCTGTCTCACGTCTAGAGTTCCCTGGATACACCACAAACAGAACCAGGATAAAGTGGATAATGAACATATAATTCTTCCAACTCACAATACATCCATAATCATTAAGAGAGTTTGTGCTCTTTATATTGCAGTATAATCAGGACACACTGAAAGATTGGAAGCTGTGTTGAAAATCCATGCTCCAGGTGAGGCTCGAACTCACAACCTCGGCATTGCTTCACCTGTACTGCTGTATAAGTACCGCGTGCTGACCGATTATGCCACTGGAGCCCTGAATGATGGTGACTCTGATGAATTGTGTGGGTTTCATCCAGGTTGTCTGGTTTCTGGTTTCTGGTTTGGGGTTGTCAGACCCCAAAAACAGGCACTATATTGTGAATTAGTGTAACTTTCATCCATCCATCCATCTTCTACCGCTTATTCCTTCTTCAGGGTCACGGGGAACCTGGAGCCCATCCCAGGAAGCATCGGGTACAAGGCGGGGTACACTCTGGACAGAGTGCCAGTCCATCGCAGACATTTTAGCATGTTTAGTCAATTTTATTCTGTTTTAATCAAGTTTTATTTGACTAAAAGTCCGGTCATTTTAGTCTTATCTTAGTCGAAGAAAAGCAGAAGTATTTTAGTCTAGTTTTAGTTACTGAAAACTGTTGAAATTTTCAACAATTCTGGAATCTCTGAATGTCATACAGACATTTGTTCACACCTATTGACGGAGTCAGTGCAATAAAAAAATTAAAGTAGTACCGTAAAAGCCCACAGTGACACTTTACAAACGTTATTTATCTCCATGTATGGTAGACGTTCATACCTCAGTTATTTTAACCAAACCTGCTGCTAGCATGTTTTTAGCAGGTGGGAGGAAACCAGAGAACCCTGAATTGTATATTTAGAGTCTGGGACCCTGGAGATGGCTGTGTTCTTTATATTCATATTGAAGTTGGATTCTGGTTACACTGAAAGTAAGAGTATGCTTGTAGGCTGTCCTTAAAGACTGTGCTCCAGGTGAGGCTCGAACTCACAGCCTCGGCATTGCTTCACCTGTACTGCTGTATAAGTACCGCGCGCTGACCGATTGCGCCACTGGAGCCCTGAATGATGGTGATTCTGATGAATTGTGTGGGTTTCATCCAGGTTGTCTGGTTTCTTCAGACCCCAAAGACAGGCTCTATATTGATTGTAGGAATGAATTAGTCTTAACTTTGTCAGCTATTCTTAGTCGTAATCCAGTGTCAAATATCATTGATAGTTGTTATCATATTTAGTCAATGTAATTCTGTTTTTTAAACAAGTTTGAGCCAAGACTAAAAGTCTGGGGATTTTTTTATATTGTCTATGTGGCATATTTATTGTTCTCTTTATTGAACCCCATGTCTTTGGAGCAAGTACATCTAATTTTCCTTCACTTTTTTACCTGCTACTAAAGGCATGTGACAAAGAAATCTCAAATCTCTCTGAAGGTCATTCACACATTTGTTCACACCTAATTAAGAACTTAATTGGTAAATTGTGCACTAATGTTCAGAAGAAAAGACATTGTTGTGTTTCCTCCAGGTTCTCTGCTTTCCTCTCTCCTGCCAAAAACATGCAGGTAAGTTGACTGAGTATGATAAAATTGCCCCACAGGTGTGAAAGATTGTGTGAATGAATGTTTTTAGTGTACGTCCCTGTCTCACACCTAGAGTTCCCTGAATCCACCACAAACAGAACCAGGATAAAGTGGATAATGAACATATAATTCTTCCAACTCACAATACATCCATAATCATTTAGAGAGTTTGTGCTCTTTATATTGCAGTATAATCAGGACACACTGAAAGATTGGAAGCTGTGTTTAAAATCCATGCTCCAGGTGAGGCTCGAACTCACAACCTCGCCATTTCTTCACCTGTACTGCTGTATAAGTACCACGTGCTGACCGATTGCGCCACTGGAGCCACTTGCTGTTAAGATTGGGATAGGTGTGGGATTCACTGTTTTCATGACCAGGTTAAGAGCACCAACTGAAAATGGCTGAACGGATTCTTTTTGTTGTTGTTCTTGTTGTTGCTCATTTGTATGTTGCCTTTCACTACAAGAAGTATATCTTAATATGGATTTCTCAAAGCTAGGCTGTGTGACATAATAGTCCAGCTAGGTAGGTAGCTAATGTTTACCCTCTAGCTTAATATTTTACACAGATAACCCATTTCTGCATTATTCAGGACTGTCCCATTGAGTCTGTTACTTCTGTGTGGAAGATGTCCTGTAAGGCCGGCGTTTGTTGCCATTAATGAGTTCAGCTCAAAACCAGACAGGCATGAACACAGTCAGGATGCTCTCTATGATGCTTTTGTAGAAATTGGTCAGGATTTTCACCAACCATGATTTTTGTGTCCAGGGATAGACTCGGGCTCCACCTCAAACCTGACCATGATAGAGCGGTTATTGTAGATGAATGAACATATAACCTTCCCATTCGGTCACTTCACACAATTTTAGTAAGTGATTTATCTTGATCAGGGCTTTTGGTGGACCAAGAGCCTTTTCCAGATAGACTAAGTGTGTGGTGGTGATACACCCTGGAAGCAATACACACACATTCACACCCAAGTTATTTTAGCCAATCCAGCTACTGGCATGTTTTTGGGAGGTAAGAAGAAACTGTGGTTAATGAAGAAATAAGTCTTCCAACTCTCAGTTCAGCACAATACATCCATAATCCTTAAGAGAGTTTGTGCTCTTTATATTGCAGTATAATCAGGACACACTGAAAGATTGGAAGCTGTGTTTAAAATCCATGCTCCAGGTACAAAGGCTTTTGTTGCCATTAATGAGTTCAGCTCAAAACCAGACAGGCATGAACACAGTCAGGATGCTCTCTATGATGCTTTTGTAGAAATTGGTCAGGATTTTGGCCAGATCCCACCACCTTTGCTGCTAATCTTAATAATTTTTGTGCCCGCTTTGATACTTCTGATATTTCAGCAGAACATGTTAGCCTTTTGGATTCTTTGCCTTTTCAAGAGCTGGATAATGAGTCCCTTCTAACTAAGCAGGATGTCTATTTCCATCTTATTACGTGCAAACTGAATAAAGCTCCTGGGCCAGATGGAATTCCAGGTCGGGCCTTGAAATACTGCGCTCTGGAATTAACCCCCATTCTTCATTATCTTTGTACTTCAACAATACCAGTCACATGGAAAACATCAGTTGTTATTCCTGTTCCCAAAAAACCTCATCCAACAGAGTTAAATCACTACAGGCCGGTATCATTAACTTCAATCATAATGAAAAGCTTTGAGAAAATTGTTTAAAACATTATGCTTCCATATGTTTCACCCTTTTGCGATTGCCTACAATTTGCATATAAGCGGAAGAGAGGTACAGAGGATGCAGTGGCTTGTCTCTTGCACTGTTTTCTTCAACACCTGGATATTCCTGGAAATGATGCCAGACTTCTTTTCACTGACTTAACTTAATATCGCAAAGACTAAGGAACTGGTTTTGAGTTCTTCCAAAACACTGAGTCATCCTTCCAGTATTATCATTAAAGGAGATATGGTTGAAAGGGTGGAGCATTCAACTTCAATCAGCACACTCTAGGTATTTACAAGTGCTGTCAACAGAGACTTACAGTTATTCGTAAACAAAAGAACATTTTGATGTATGTTTACGATCATTGTCCTGCTTGAAGATAAAACCGCAGCCCATTTGAATCTTTCTGGCTGAGGCAGTCAGGTTTTCATTTAATACCTGTTGATATTTGAGCGAGTCCATGATGTCATGTGTCCTAACAAAATGTCCAATTCCTCTGGCAGAAAAACAGCCCCAAAACATAAAAGAGCCACCTCCATATTTAACCGTGGGCATGAGGTACTTTTCCATTCAGACAAAAGGACACTTAACAAATTAATGAATATTCTGGACAATGACTGTCATCCACTACATAACACTATCATAAACCGAAAGAGCCCAATCAGCTGGAGGCTACGCTCACTGCCATGCACAACTGACAGGCTGAGGAAGTCTTTTGTCCCTAGGGCTATACAACTATTCAATGACTCACTTTACGGAAGAGGTGAGAGACTTCTCTGCATAGTCTATCTGCCTCTTCACCTTTTCATACATCCTCATACACCTCTTACAACAATGTTGTGCACTGACTCACTGTGTGATTGTTCTACTGCTTATACAGTTTATGGACTATATTAGCCCACATGTATAACCCCTACCTTTAATTCTCAGTCTGGGAATCCGTGATTGGTAAATTTTTACTGTTTTACTATTTTTTTTTACCAGTCTGCTTATATTTTATTTTATTTATTTTATTGTATGTTGTATTGTGTGAGATGTTCTGAGCTACTGGGTTCTTGAATTTCCCCTTGGGGATCAATAAAGTATGTATCTATGTATGTATGTATGTATGTATGTATGTATCTATCTATCTATCTATCTATCTATCTATCATATGGCTACCTCTCTGTGTCCGTCAAAACCTCCTCTTGGTGTTTATTGCTAAAAAGCTCTATTTTGGTTTCATCTGACCATAGAACCCGATCCCATTTGAAGTTCCAGTAGTGTCTGCAAACTGAACACGCTCGAGTTTGTTTTTGGATGAGAGTAGAGGCTTTTTTCTTGAAAACCTTCCAAACAACGTGTGGTGATGTAGGAGACTTTGGATTGTAGTTTTGGAGACTTTCTGACCCAAAAAACAAAACTAACTTCTGCAGTTCTCCAGCTGTGATCCATTGGCGATTTTTTGGCCACTCTAACCATCCTCTTCACCGTACTTTGTAAGATCACACAGTAAGATTACATTTTAGGGAATATTTGTAACCTGAGTGTGCATGTGGAATTGTCAGAAAATGTTATTAACCATATATTATTATTAACTGCTTGTACTTAAGGCCATAAGGCCCAAGCAGAACTCTTAGTGACACTGGTGTATGATAAACTGGTAGTATTCTGGTAGGATATTTCCTCTACTTTTTACTGAAACCAATCTTACTGAATACGCATGAATTAACCAGTGAAATGCGGTTCTCCCTACAGGCAAAGCTTTTTACACAAGGTATACGCCCATGCCATCTTGGGACAGCACCCCCATGTGGTGAGGTATTACTCCGCATGGTTGGAAGAACGCTGAAGTTCCTCTCTGAAGCTCGGCTGTAGGATTTGCTCCTGCAGGTGTCCCGGGGTTTGAAGTACATCCACTCTGTTTTTCTGTTTCTCACTGCCTTCTTTAGGAGATCTTAGTGGCTCATGTGACTCATGTGAACAGACCAAGAGTGGAAGACGGATCCAGCAGATTTTTAGCCAAGAGGTAAGACATTACTCCTCTATGCTAATTGCTCTTTTTATATACACTCGATGTACTAAGCATGCCGGTCTTTCAGGACTACAGGAATTTACCTAAAGCAGATGTTTTCACACTGGCGCTCACAGTGCTAACCGCCTGTGGGGCAAAAGCGCTCCTGAGGAATGGGGAAATGTGGCATGCAATACTCAGAGGGAAACTCCCAACTGTTGCCCAGGTGCTGTCGGAAGAATTTTAATAAATTCTCAAGTTTTGTTACGTCCAGATGAGTCTCTGATAAGCATGACGCATGTGAGGTTTCTAGCACTGAGCAGTTGTGAGCAGATATCCAACACGAGACTTTCTGTGGTCAGAAAGTGTTGATTAGTTTCCAACATCAGCAGGTCTGGCAGGTGTATATAAATACATTAGTGTTTCTAATAGCTTCAAATCGTTGAAATGGTAAGCAGACTTTTATTTAACATTTATAAGTTAAGGAGTCTCCAGTGTCAGCACTTGTGAGACTTCACAGAAAACTTCACAGAAAAAGAGACACTGTTTCTAGCTGCTTTAATGAAAACTTTCGCAGACATTATTTGTAACTATAAATGTATAAAAATGTGCAACTTTCATTTATGGATTTTTTTTTAATGCAATTGTTAGCAATTGTTGTGGTATTAGAGGAATAAAACACTTCAGGAATCATCGACTTTGGGCTAGTAACAGTAACTCTACTGAGTCACACCACCTCGTAGGTGATTATTTTCTTTTTTGTCTAGAGAGCTGAAAGAGATCCAGTCGTCCACAGCAGCTGCAGAACCGAGCATCACCGTGACCTGCTCCAGTGGAAACAAGTACAACACATCGTCCAGACTGCTCGGGAAAAAGATCAACCGCCCACTTAATTTAACCATGTTCTGATCCGGACCGTTTTATTTTTGGTAAAAATACATGTATTTGTACCTTTAGAGTTGGTTATGACTGTGAATATATTTCCTGTAAAGTAAATGATATGTCAGTATACATGAAATTTCTGGAAATATATTCATAATTGTATTGCTACACTATATGGCCAAAAGTGTGTGGACACCTGACTTTTAAACTCATATGAGCTTGTTGAATGTCCCATTCCAGATTCAGTCCTCCTTTGCTGTTATAATCAGCTCCATTCTTCTGGGAAGGAGTTCCACTAGATTTTGGAGCGTGGATGTGAGGATTTGTGTTCATTCAGCTACAAAAGCGTTCGTGAGCTCAGGCACTAATATTGGGACGTCAAAGAGGCCCTGTTTCATTTCATCCCAAAGGTGTTCAGTGGGGTTGAAGTTCTTCCAGTTCCATTCTTAAACAGACTATGTCCTCATGGAGCTCCTCGCTTTGTGCACAGTGGGTGTCGTCATGCTGGAACAGATTTGGATCTGCCTCTTATGCTACTACATACAGAGACATTCTATACAATTGTGTGCTTCCAACGTTTGGGGAAGAACCACAAACAGTATGGGTGTGATGGTCAGGTGTCCACATACTTTTTGCCATATAGATGCTATATTCTTAGATATATGGTTAAAATATATGCGAGTTATCTGTATTATGTTACAAATTTTAAATGTATGAGTTTCTTGTATTACAGATTTAAACTGAAACGAAGAAACTGTTGCGCAA